CGCACATTATAACGCCCCCACGGCTGAAAGGGCGAGCATGTTTGGTGTGACGGGGATTGCAATATCAGAATCTGGAAATGTTTGTGTAATTCTTATATACAAATAAATATTTATAGTTTGTTTGTTTCTTAGCACAAACCTACACAATGGGCTATCTGTGCTCTACCCACCACGGGTATCAAAATCCGATATCTAGCGTTCTAAATCGGCGGACATACCGCTGTGCCACTGTGGGGCAAATATTTATAGTTCAGCAGGTAAAGAAGGCACCATGTGTCTGTTGCCTTTAATATTTATATATATATATGGTCCAGCTGGTGAAGAAGACACTGTGTATGTGTCTGTTGCCCTTATAGCAATTTTAAATGTTTACAAGTTCACCAAGTAAAGGCAGTATATGTGGTGTCTGTGTAGGAATGTTTAAATGTTTGCAAGCTTAACAGGTAAAGATGACACTGAGAGTATGTTGCCTTTGTAGTATTATTTAAGTGTTTGCAAGTTCAGCAGGTAAACAAGGCAGTTTGTGTTGTCTGCGTTGTAATATTAAATATTCTTATGTTCAATTTGTTTATCGATTTGTTGGTAATCACAAAGCTACATAATGGGATATCTGTGCTATGGCCATCATGGGTATCAAATCCGGTTTTTATTTCAAGTTCAACAGAAAAATAAGACACAACATGAAAGTTGTCTGTGTAGGAATATTTAGATGCTTTTAACACCTGCCACATGAGGCAGTCCAGCAACTTGTTGCGAATAAAAAAATCAATTATTCCGGAAAGGTTTGGGTTGATTTGATTAGACAAAAAGAAGACGATTGACATTATTTTCGAGGTCTAGATCGCTGGACCTGACCCGAGACCATGAGAGCCAACATGGAGAGTTAACTTGTAAATGTAAAATAAAACAATGTAGCAATGAAACATACTTGAAATGTTTTAGATGTGGTTGTGAATGTGGTGGTTTAAGTGTAGCGATTAAGCTAAACTGTGAGTCTACGTAGGATGAGGGAAGAACTTATTTGAAGATATCCCAATCAATTTGACATACCAGCAGAATCGGAAATTTGTCAATTGATCACTGTATTGACAGCGAAACATAAAACAACTGACACAATAGTATCATTATCGTCTAAAAGAGGGATTGAAATCATATATAAGAAATCATTAGTTTCAATATTTAGTGAAACTAACCGCACAGTAAAGCCCAAAGATGCAGTATTGAAGTTGAAGCGGACACACGATACATTACAAAATGATTTCCCAAGCGATTCTCAAATTAAAATGTCATTTCTACATTAAAGAGTAAATATGAGAAGGATGGTATAACACCCAGTATGGTACCAGCATAAGAAGGATGCTATATCACCCAGTATGGTACCACCATAAGAAGGATGCTATATCACCCAGTATGGTACCACCATAGTATAATCCATATAGATTTTATTGTGTCATATTTTCATTAATATTTAGTTTTTTTTTTCGGTTTAGGTGCGCCGAGCTTCATTCAAGGAAATCTATCGAAATAATCCTAAACCAGTGGCTTCCGAAATGACCCTCCCTGTTGACCATTGTAGGCTCGGTACTAAAAGATGCTGGGCTGGCTCCTGTGGTAGTGTTAAAATAAAAAAATATAAAATACACTGTATGATGTAGTTTGTATTAAATTTTTAGATGTATAATTAAAGAAAATATATTTACTCAACATGGGCGTCCGCAAAGTCAAAATGAAGGGACGATAGACCCATCTTCAATGTTTTATCATTACATTGAAGAGAATATTCAAGCTCCCACAGGCAGATTTGATGGATTTTATATTTGTAAGATTAGTTTAAGCCATACTGCAGACTTGCAGATATATATATACTTCATAATGATAAATTTTGGTTGACCCCAACCACCCTGTCTCATGGGATGTTTGTAAGACTGCGTCAGTCTCTTTGATAACCTTCTACCAGTAATACCGACAGGTGGCAATAGGTTGACCCTGATCATACTGTGTCAGGACCAGAGGACGTCGACAAGACTGCGTTGGTCTCTTTGATGACCTGCTTCCGGTATTACAATTTCAAATGGTCTGAAACTGAGTTAAATTGTAATTTAGATTTAGTAATTAAATAAATGCCGATATGTATCCAATTTATGATATTTGCCAACAGTATGGATACAAACACTTTTCATTTTTAATACAAATATATTTCAACATACAAACAATAATACAATTTGCAGTAATGGTTATTATAAACAATGATTTTTATACAAAAGTTTTACGATCTTACAAACAATATAAAGTCCTCTTTCTAGACTGGAACTTCCTTGATGTCTTATTGAGGGTTCACGATATGCGAGTTAATTTCGAGTTGATGTAGATACAATTCACTTAATAGCGAGCTAGTTAGCTGTGTGGTCTTTGCTGATTACACGCCGAT